AGCTATGTAGAAATTAAAATCATTTACAAGTGCAAACTGCATAAACTTTTCCAAAGATGTATTTTGGGCAAAATATATCCTCAAGGTTTCTATTTTTTTTTTTTATTTCAGTAAATGTATGAATTCCATTAAATACCATTTTGAGATGGAAACATTTAATTACAGTTAAATTTCTTTTTATAAAAATCCTTAAGTTTTTTTCTCATCATTTAAATCCTTGCCAGGTGTAAGGATTAACTCAGGCCATCTGTGCTGTTGAAAAGCCAGATATTTCCTTCAATTCACACAAGGTAGTGTCTTAGAATCTCAACATTTCTAGCAACTTTTTATTAAAAGTATCTTGTTGAAATTTTTGATAACCTGAAAAGTGACCCAACATGATTTTTGAAATTCCAGTCAGGGCTGTGGCTCAAGCCTGTAATTCTAGCACTTTGGGAGACCGACGTGAGAGGATTGCCTCAGTCCAGGGGTTTGAGACCAGCCTGAGCAACTTGGCGAGACCTCGTCTCTACAATAAATTTTAAAAATGTGGCAGGTGTGGTGGTGCACGCCTGTAGTTCCAGCTACTTGGAAGGCTGAGATGGAAGAATCGCCTGAGCCCAGAAGGTCAAGGTTGCGGTGGCCGTGAGCGTGTCACTGCACTCCAGCCTGGGCGAAGGAGTGAGACTCCAACACAGAAAGAAATTCCAGTGAAAGGAAAGAAATCTAAGAGTGAAATTACATCTACTGCAAATGGCAAAATCATTTGGGACGACATAAGTGGACAAAACTATTGATTTCAGGAAAAATACTAAAGGACACACTGGATGTTTCAAAAGTTTTTGTTTGTTTGTTTTGTTTGTTTGTTTTTAGAAAGCAGGATTTATTGAGAGGACAGAAAAGCTCCCACAGTGGGAGGGGACCCGAGGGGGTTGCCCTCTAAAATTTATAACTAGATTTACAACTTCTCTTTTCTACAAGTTCTACATATGTCTGTATTTTGTATACTAACAAATACGTTTTCTTATTCTGGTCGTGTAATTTCAGTGCACATGCTTCCGGAACTTTGGGAAGTATGGACACACAAAGGCCAATTCTTTTGCTGCTTAACCTGTTTCTGCCTAGGACAGACTGTATAGGAGTGGTCTATGCAACAAATTAGTCATTTTTTTTCCTTTGTGATATTACAGAACTGCTATTCTCATTAACTCTGAAACACAAGCCTATTATGTTCATGGGAAGATACCACAAAATCTATATATAATCACTTAGCTTTACTAAAAATGCATGAATGTTTGAAGAGATAACTTAAACTCATAACAGAAATGCATTAAATATTGATCAATTATGATGCAAACCTATAAGGGATGCAACTGTTGACAATTTTAAAATAATTTTTACATAACAAGAGAATCAATAGAAGAGTTTGGCAACTATAAAAAACTGGTTATCACATAATATTCAAGTGTGCAATAAGGGATCAAATGCAAAATAAAGTGTAAGAAAATAAAAAAAGTGGAAAAATGCATTTTAAGTACATATTGAATTTTATGGAAATAAATCAAGGATATAAATATTTAATGAATGTAATTGACAGTTCATAAAAACCTGTCATTGGACTCTGATTACTTTGATCACTTGGCTATAATGAATTATTTTTCTGAAATGATAAAATGCAAAATCTCATCCTGAAATTATAAATCATGAAGCATTTGCCCTTGGAGCTGCCCTTAACCTTATATGTAGGGGGGGGAACCATCAATTTGTTAGGATGAAGAAAGGTTGCTACTTTAATTTCTTGAAATTGTTTCTCTTTGTCTCAGTCGAGCATGCAGAATGTTGAATGTAAAGGATCCCACATTTACATGGGGTTCGTTTTCGACTCATGTAGATATTCCGGAATTCCATGACACACCAATGGGTGCTGTATTTTGACGCATTTGTGTTGACACATCATGCTACTCTATGATGCATCATAAAATGCCCAGAATGGTTAGTCTTAATGTAAATTAGTACAGAGTTCATGGCTTGAAAATACTGAAGGAGATTGTTTCATTTGCTTTGTGAATAGCTGCGTTTATAAGTCACTTAGTTCTTCAGTATGATTAATACAGTGTAACTATCCTAATGTCAAGGCTAATCATGTTAGTTATAAGTTATTGAGCACTTGCTGTATGCTAGGATTTGTGTTACTTGCTTATGTACATTATTTCATTTGATCTGCTTAAGATCAGGTAGGTATCTTTATTCATGTTTTCAAATGAGGAATCTGAATCTTTCAAATATTAAGTAATGTGGCCTATGGTGGAATTTGTATAGGAAAACCCAGATTGGTCTGAATCTAAAGCTTATACTAAACACTAAGTTATGTTGCCCTCATGATTAGCTTCTGTGCCACATCGATGTAAATAATCACCTTCTAAATTTCCACTTGAAAAAAAAACTAAGCAATTTTCAGTGTAAAGAGCCCACTTTCCTTTCTGATGACAGACATGCACAACTTGCTTTCACCTCCATAAGAAGAAAGAGTAAGAAAATGGAAGGTAAAACTAGGTTAAGTTGCTTGATTTCACCACAGTGTTTACATATATCAAAACATCATGCTGCACACCATAAGCACATATAAAAGTTTTGTTAATGAAAAAATGAAAGCAAAAGGAAGAAAACAGGAAGACAGGACTAGACCAAAAATAAAATCTATGAGAACAGAAAGGTGCAGTAGTGTAGGCCAATTGCCTAAGCTCCAAGCAAAATCTCCACCAGAATCTTTTGAAATCTGTGGGCAAGTCTCTCCATTTCTCTGAATCACAACTGTCTCATCCACCAAAAAAGATGATATTGGAGGCCCTTACTTCACTTTGGAAGGGGCAGTGACACCTATCTAGCCCTATTTCCCACAGTCAGTCACTTCGTCCTCAGGTCTTTTTTTTCATCAAGCTTCCTACTGGAAAGGCCTTGGAGGGGCCTCACCATCCCCCCACCGAGCTTTCCAAGACATAAATAGGCAACATTATACTGTGTCCTTATTTCCCATGACACTCTGAACCCATCTTATGGTCTGCTCTATTAAAATTACTTTTCTGTGTATCTGGCCCACATTGCCCCATTCCTGGCACACCAGGAGCTGGTCATTTCATCTCCCTCTTTACTGCCCCCCTTTAAAAAATGTAAAATGGGGCTTACACAAAATATGTTCCCAACACATGTGGAATAGAAGGCACCGTTCATGACAATTTTATGCTACCAAATGCATGATATTATTTAGACCACTTGCTGTGATATACCATCAAAAACTAAGTAAACTTTCAAAACATTCCCAGCATTAGGACAGATGCATTGTGACCCACATTCCTAAAAAGGCTGTTTTACTGGAAAAATCAGGGAAGAGATACACATCTCCAGGTCAAAAAAAAAACAGAGCAATGCTTTTTTTCTTTTCCTTAAGTCGAGAAAATTCCAACGGTAGAATTGTCATTACCACCAAGTTCATCAAATTAAGCAACTCCCTCCCTCATCTTTATTTTATCCACTTGTCATGATTAAACGTCCTCCTAGGTTCTATAAGAGCCTTCAAAGCAGACCCTTTATCTTGGGATTTGAGAGGCACAGGGTTAGTCACTACCCTTTACCCAAATGTCAGTATGCTGCAGTAGAGGTTATTCCCTTAGGCTACATATTGTTCTTCCCAGAAATCCTCTTTTTAAAGGTCACTTTAATTCGATTTTAGAAAATCAGAGTGAAAGGAAGTAGATTACAGGATCAGATGAATAATTCAAATTCATTTGATTTCTGCTATTACCAGCTGTGTACATTTCTTCTCTTTGCTTTTTAAAGTTGCCCTTTATTTCCTGTGAAATGAGAGAAATGATACCTATCCAGCAAGGTTACTGAGCAGGATAGCATGGGTAAAAATGTAAGCACATAGATTGGCAATAGTTAGTGGTCAATAAACAGCAATTTTGATGAGGGCCCTGGACCACATAATGAAACCAAGGGAGGTGGTTTGAAATTCTGGCCACCTCACAGTGGGTGAGAAAGGGTCCTTGAGATGGAGACGAGGCCCATTATTCATGGCGCAATTCCTTACCAGGAGGCCTCTCTTGTCTTTTAATGAACTTCGTTTATTTTTGCTAAAGACATCAGTCGGTGGGGGCACAGTGGCTCCTGGCAGTTATCCCAGCACTTTGGGAAGCCAAGGCGGGAGGATAGCTTGAGGTCAGTAGAGAACAGACCTAGCAACATAGATACCCTACCTCTCAAAAAAAAAAAAAAAAAAAAAAATTAGACTATCGTGATGGCTCATGCAGGCGTCTCAACTACTCAGAAAGTCGAAGTGGAAGGATCTCCTGAGCTTGGGAGGTGGAGACTGCAGTAAGCCAGGACGACAGAGCAAGACCCTTTTTCTAAAAATAAAAAGACATCAGACTATCATTGCTAAGCCACCCTTGGCCTTAACGGAACTTGTCTATTTAATCCCTGACTATTGCGGCACGAAGATCAACCAAAGCTTAGGAAGAGGTTTGTTAGAGTCTGAAAGTTGGAACTTTTCGCTGTCCGGCACCAGCTCCCAGGCGCTGGGAATTTTTTTCCCTCCCTCTCTTTGCGGTTAGGGTTTAATCCCCACTTCCTTCTAGCGACTCTCTCTACGCACGAGGGAGGCGGGGCGCCTGCCACCCGCGTGTGGTTTTCGGGCCGTG